TCCCTGCCTCAGTTTGCTGAGGAATGTGACATTTCCTGTCCCTCAGGCTAGATGGGGCTACAGGCAGATTGCTTTTTCACAAAGAAAGCATGTGGGGAGTCAATACAGTGGGCTCATTTTATCAAATTATTCTCTTAACCTCATGTTCCCACTATCCTTATCTGTTTGTCCCCTTACACTACCTTGGAGTGTGTGTGTGTGTGTGTGTGTGTGCGTGGTGTCAAGAAATCTCTCTTTAACTTTACAAGCAGAAAAAAGTAGAAGTAGAATTGATCCTGCATCCATTTAGGTAGTAGTAATACTATAATCATGGATAGATATAGCCTTTGCAGTGAGGGAAACCACATTGATCTCTTTAAGAAGTATATTTCTGACTAATTTTTTTACTTGTAATATGTAACAAAATATTTTTATCAATTGTATAGTAATACAAATTATAACCCAGTTTAATTAAGTATATAAATTGAAAACAATCTATAAGACAAATTTTTAAAGATTTAGAACCTTATTGTGCAGAGGAAATTTAAAAATTTCAGTTTCAAAGTACAACTTTGCAGAATTCAACAAATAATTTAAAATCTCTCAGCCACACCAATATGTTTCTTTGAGATAAAAATTTGAGGAGAAAATTGGAATGAATATGTAAGTTTAAATGATTGGTCATTGTTATATATATTTATATATAAACACATAAAATATGTATATGAAATCACTAATATATTTATGAATCCTTAGATACATTTGGATATATTTATAAGAGTCAGATAATAGTTTTATCTTAAAATGCTAATATTTATATTACATAATACTTTAAATTTAATATTTTAAAAATATAGATGCCACCCTTTAAATATCTTAGCATGCACATTGTTTTTCAAAATTTGACTAGGGGAAATGCTAGAAAAACAATTTGAAGATTCCTACTGTAGACCACTGATAGCCATGGGAGATATGATCAGCTTCTCACCACTCCTTCTCACCTCTCAGGCTTAGCTCCATGCCTAGACCAAGACACTGTTGCAAGAATTCAAGGCAACTGACTTTGCCTTTGTAGAAGTCACTCTTCTAGCCAGAAATAATTGCCTGATCCTTTCTAGTTATAACAACCATTCTGTCATTTTTATGGCCCTTTTAAACTTTCATCTCTTACTGAAGCCACCCCCACAACACAGTAACCAGGGTCTACTTTTCCTGATTTGTTCTGTCACCAGACATTTAACAATGTATTCTCTTACATTGTCCTCTAATGTTGTGTTTGAGTTAGTCTTGGCTTTATTAAAATACAATACTGTAGTATCCTCCAGGGTAGGGACCATGCATCTCTAATTCCTTTTACAGGACCTACTCAGCCAGTGATGGGCACTTCATAAATACCTGATTAATATGCAACTTTTTCGGGAGAATAGGAACATCACTTCCACCCCTAGTGAAATCAGTGGGAACGGAGAAGGTGGTGTAAAGGCAAAATCATGAATTTTGAAATCAGTACCAGATTCTCAAAACTGTCTCCACCACCTATTGGTTCCTTAGCCCTTTTGAACTACAGACCTCTTTTTCCAGAAGGGGGGTTACCATATGTAGAATGATTATCCTGGAGCCTGGTATATAATTAGTGCCCTGTTTTAGTGGTCATCTTTCCTTTTTCTTCTCATAGTGTTAAGGGAAACAGATGTACACATGGAATAAATGGGATCCCAGGTTGACTAAAATGTGTGTGTAAAGAAAGTTGCTGTAAAACAGTCCATTCATTCTCATCCTCTCAAGCTGTGTTCTGGAAATCAAATAAAATACAACAAGTAATTTTAACTGAGGACCCAAATAAAGTGTTCATGAGGAGAGGGAAGCTGCTGCATATTTTGCAAGGAGGATGCAGTTGAGATAATTTCAGATGGGTAACCCTTGAAAACCAAATCAGTCTCCTATTGTCATTCATTTATACACCCATGCTATCAGGAGGGCCTCAGAAATTCAAGGATCACTCTTCTTAGTTTGGTTTTAACTTGTCATGATTAGTAATATAGGTGTTTGCAATCAGGCACTTGAAATTTATTGTGCTTATTGGCACACAGTTATGGGCAAAAACTACACTAAAAAACTCATCACAAAGCTGAGTTTTTCATATTCAGCCCTGGCACCCTGACAATACTATTGCATCCTTTAATTTGTATTCTCCCGCCATGCCTTATATTATTTTCTATCTCTTTATTCTCTTTTCTTATTAATATTTCCCTAATTATTTATTTGTTTTCAAAATTATCTTTCTATCACTAGACTTCAAATTTCTTGAGGGATTTACTTATCTCTTTATATGTATTTTCTAGAATAATAATTGACAGGTAGATAAGCAATAGTTAATACTAAATGAATGAATGAATAAGTTAATGTAATTATAGTTCACACAAGCTTATTATATCAGCTTACTGCTGTAACCCTAAGAATTCATTTATTTATCTTTAATATACATTGAGATTTACTAAAATTATATAATATTGTACAATAGTGCAATCAATTGCAATGTTTTCTTGCCTCTGAAGGACTAAATAAAATTCATTGTAAATTAACTTAAAATTGAAGGCCAAACCATGTTTTGGCATTTAAAGTCAATTATAAAAGTAAATGCCATTATATTTTAATAAAAAAGTTTCATTAGAGTTATTACATCACCAACTTTAGATTTCTAGATATCCTTCTAGGAACATAATAAAGAAAGGATATCACTATTTAGATAAAAAATTTATAAAGTAAAAATATATTTCCAAAGGCAGAACATCTAATTTGATGCTTTCCTTGTCCTCACAATTACTTACTATAATTTGAATTTAAGTCCATTATTTGCTATGATCACTACTTTATAAAGTGTTTCTTTCACTGTGCTATAAAACTCAACTTTCTTCTATTCACTATTTAGTAAACATTCTTTTATTTGTTTAATGAATAGTTATTGTATAACATGTATATTGAACTCTGGGAATAATGTTGTTCTCTGTACCCCCAAAACAAAAACAAACAAATCTATCATGTATAAATGAAATATTAACTGTTTTACCAGTTTCTTTCTGAGTCAAGGGCCTCTTCATTTCATATTTTTATAATAGCAGAATCAAAATCTTATAATCTTATAATGTGAATGGACCTTCAATTTTATGAAAATAAAAACTAAGGCCTAAAGAGGTTGTATGATTTGTCAGAAATTACAGAGCTACTTATTAGGAGCTGGACTTGCTCCAGGCCTCTTAGCAACCCCATCCCCCAACATACTCTTACCTGCTTCTGGAAGACCAGTCTTATGCTCTATTAGGGCCACTTTTCTCCATCCACTTGTCCAACCAATACTTATGTTGATGTGTTCTAGGGAGCTCACAGTTTCATTTTCTTTCCCATATCTGTTCATAACCTTGTAACTTTTATCTTGGTTAATATAATCACTCTCTACTCATTAGGCAGGTTAGAAATTTCCAAGTTATTTTTTTACTCTCTCCTTCATTCCACTCATTTAATAAGCAGATGGATTCAGTTGATACTAATTGCTAAATGTCTCCGGAACCCAGATTTCACTTTGGTTGCCTTTAATGATACCCTGGGGCACGTATATCCTGCCTTGCCTTCAAGCTGGTTCCCATAGCCTTGGGCTGTGTTTCAAGTTCTATACTACTATTGGAATGAGTGTCCTTTCCGAAGCAAAAGAAGGAAGAGAATTTTTTTTAATTTTTTTTTTAAATGTTTTTTAGTCATACATGACAGCAGAATGTATTTTGACATATAATACATACATGGAATGTACATACATCAATCATATTTTCTATTCTATTCTGCTGCCCTTCCTATCCTCCCTACTCCTCCCCTCCTCTCCCATCTTTTCTCAAGAAGGAAGAGAATTTAACTGTTATTTTCATACTTAAATAGGACAAGAGAGTAGCAGATTTATTTTTAACAGTAGAAACAATGCCTTTATTGATTTCTATCCCACCAAACTGTGTACGAACATTCCCACTGAGAGTAGCAGATTTATAATTGACTATTTCATTTAGTCGAAGGTTTTTAAAAAAATCTTATCTAGAAACTATGAGCCTTTTTCAGAGTGGCCACCTCTGCCTCTCTAAATTTCTCTGTCTCCTCTGATCTAGGACATCTATGAATACTGTCATCTTTAATGGACTCTTCCTGTTATTTTACACCTTCATTCTCTGGTCCCTGATTCTTCATTCTTCCTGGAATGTGCTTCTCCTGCCTTGTGCACAGATTTTTCCTTTTTTTGTGACTCCCATATGTTGTTTCACAATTGTAGCATACATTCCCCTCAGACATCTGGAGCTCTGCTTCTTAGTCATCTTTGGACCTCCAATGTTGGTACAGTAGCTGATACTCAGTAGATGCTCAATAGGTGCTTGTTGAGCAAATAAATCACTCTCTGAGGAGCAACAGAGAAAAACATTAATAATATTGTTAAAGTGCATTTGTTGTAAAATAGAGGTATAAATGAAGATCATGAGAGCAAAGACTTCCTCCACCTCATCAGCAAGCCTTGCAGGTGAAAGGTTCCTATTGCTGACATCTGTTAGTGGGGAGGCTGAGGAGCCCTTTGAACAATTTCACCCTGACTGGCCATTTTGAGCTTCAGGGAACCCATTTTGACTTTTTAATAGCAGAGAGAAGGCAGAACTAAAGGAGACACTTGATCCTGTCTCTAGTTTCTCTTTTGCAGAAAATTTAATACAATAGTGATATCATTAGGACAGGCTGATTTTTAGGGCTTTTATTTTTGTCCCACTACAATTCACATGCCATTTTCTATTCAACATTTTCTTTTAGAAATAAATACATTTCTGATTTAATTTCCTGGGGGATTCCGGGGCATTAGTACTCTTGGATCTTTTAACTTCTAGAGCCCTCCACTGGTCTCAGATACTCCATATTGTATTTCCAGTTAAGAATGTGTTATTCCTCTTATGTCTGATTTCCCCCTGCAGTATGCTATACTTTTCTACTTTCTCTTCTTGCAGGCATTGTTTCCATTACCACCCTAACTGTGCTGGCCTATGAACGTTATATTCGTGTGGTCCATGCCAGAGTGATCAATTTTTCCTGGGCCTGGAGGGCCATTACCTACATCTGGCTGTACTCATTGGCATGGGCAGGAGCACCTCTCCTGGGCTGGAACAGATACATCCTAGACGTCCATGGACTAGGCTGCACTGTGGACTGGAAATCCAAAGATGCCAACGATTCCTCCTTTGTGCTTTTCTTATTTCTTGGCTGCTTGGTGGTGCCTGTGGGTGTTATAGCCCACTGCTATGGCCATATTCTGTATTCCATTCGAATGGTGAGTTGAAGTCCACAAATGTCTCTCCTCAAAAACATGTCCATGGCAGAATATTTTGGGTGGAAAAAAAAATCAAACACTTCCTACATGATTGGTAGTTGCCCAGAGTTGTAGGAACTCTAGGAGACTTTCCATTTGGCAGAATTTTGCACTCTGAGTCACTCCATGAAAAGATAAATGAGGAATAACACTTACTTTCTGCACATCAAAAGAAGGACAGAAAGGGATTCTGGACAGACAAACTCAACAACAACACAGCCCTACATTGTGGAACATTCTTAGAATTTAGAAAGTCTAAAAAGAGAATTTCATGCTTCTCGTGATTCCCCTCCCCCCCAAAGATCACCATGAAACACTACTCAGAATGACACTGGAAATCCCATGAGAGCCATAAAGGACCAGAGCTGAGCACAAATAGATTACATGTTGGGAGGCAGCAGAGGCACTTTTGAACTAACCCAACAGTCTAGGCATGATCCATGTCCCAGTCTCCAACTTCAGCCATAGATGGTTTCCTTAACTACTGCTTCTTCCTACTCCATCTGCTCTTTTCTTTTATTAGAACACTCTAGTCTCTTGCTCACTCTTTCAAACATCTCTAACTTTTACCTTTTGTTTTAAACCAAACCTAGTTCCAGGCATCACTGTAAATCCTAACTAATTACCCTCAAGTCCTACATTTTTACTGTTTACACCCGTTTCATTGGGGAAAAAAAATCCCTGGGCCAATCCAATTGTTTTCTCCAAGGCTATAATCAAAACGTAGAGAGTTTCTGGATGAAAAAAAAATTACTCAGATGTCCTCTGAGGCCTGTCTTTGTATCCCTATAGGTGCACTCTCTCACACCATGGCTATAAAAAAAATCACCAATTTTCATTTTAATTTTTTACCGATTATCCCTCCTCATTAAATTATTGTGCTTGTTATTTGTTAGAAGATTAAAGCCAATTAGCAAGGACTTTTCAACTCCCTGCCTTCCTTTATCAAAACCTCTATGTTAACACTATTTCTTAAGTGCCTCTCTTCAGTTGTTGAGTGACAGGGGAAGTCTCCCAGGACAAAGCTAATTCTAAATTCTGATTGTCCCCCAGTCCCTCCCATTACATTCTCTTTCCTAGGGAACTTTCTCAAGCGTAATAATTTTACTTTTTAACTTTTCAATCTCTCCACTCTTCTTGTATCTTTCTCTTTAGCATATAGCTATGCTAACTTAAAATAAAAGCAAGATTTACTCTCAGCTTCCTCTCCCTATTGCTTTATTTCTCTCTTTTCACTGCTAACTCAAAGAACTACTGGTGACTTTTGGTACCATATTGTCACTCAATAAATGTTTATTTAACCTCTATTTATTGAGCATCTAAAATATGCTTCTCCTGGCTTGTGCCCTCCAAAATTCAGATGTCAAAGACTTAATCCTCTGTGAAGTGGGACCTTTGGAAAATAAGGAGGGTTAGATCAAGTCATGAGAGTGAGGCTTATAAGAAGAGATAACAAAAAGCCTGTTCTTTCTCCCACTCTCCTTCTGGGTGAGCATATAGTAAGACCGCCACTTGCAAGTCAAGAGAAGATACCTCAGAATGAAACCTGCCTTGCCAGCACCTTAATCCTGGATTTCCTACCCTCCAGAACTGTGAGAAATAAATTTCTATTGTAGCTCAAGGAGTTAGTAGCTGAGTAAATTCATACAGTATTTATTCCTCAACTCTTTGAAAATGTGTACCTCCTTCCTCTACCACACTCTCTAAAATAGCCCTCGTTTAAGGTTACTGATTATCTCCTAAATATTAAATCCAATGGGCACATTTCTTTTTTTTTAAGAGAGAGAGATAGAGAGAGAAAGAGAGAATTTTAATATTTATTTTTTAGTTTTTTCGGCGGACACAACATCTTTGTATGTGGTGCTGGGATCGAACCCTGGCCGCACGCATGCCAGGCGAGCGCGCTACCGCTTGAGCCACATCCCCAGCCCCTGGGCACATTTCTTATTCATATTGTTTTCTGGCATCTGTGGTATATGAAACTGTTGATGATGTCTACTTACTTATGACTTTCTCCCCTTATTGATTCAAGGACCCTTTTCTCTGCTACCTTCATTCCTGACTCTCCAGCCCCATCTTCTTATGGCTCCTTTAAGAGCTTCTCTTTCTTGTTTCTCCCCAGCATTCTCTGCTTAGTTCTCATGTTGCTACACAATGGCTTTCGGTGAATTCATGTACTGCCAAGATTTTTTTCTAAGAAAGGTTTGATGACTTCAAAACTTTTATCTCTAATCTAAATCTTTCTTTTGATTTCTGTTCAATCCTCACATTCAATTGAACACCTTCATTGCGATAGTCCACAGGCTTGTCAAATTCAACATATACAGAGATTAACCTGCCATCTTTTCTACCAAATCCCCTACCCTCCGTTCTCTTTCTCATTGAATGATCAACATTCCTAGCTACCTAACCCCAAAATTAGGGAGTTCTCTTGACTATCTGTCATTTATCTCCTCCCCTAATCCCAACTAGTGATCAATTCTTATCTATTCTACTTAAATATTTTCCCATATATCCAATTTTTGCCTCTCTCACTGCCACAGACTCAATTCAAAAGAATCTTAGTTCTCTTTCCTTTATTCTTGCTTTCCTCTAACTCATATTCTGCCCACTTCCAACAGAGTACTTATTCTTAAATATTACCTGGGGGTTCCACTGCTTTCATGATTGAAAATGAAGCCTTTGAGTAGGGCTAGCAGGTCTTGTGTGGCATCTCCTATCTACTGGTTCATCCTTATTTCTTGACACTCCTCTCCTTGCCACCTCCAGCTAACTGCAACATTTCTTGTTCCCAGAACCTGACACATGGTGTTTTTTTCTCTGCCTTAGCACATTTCCTTTCTTTCTTTCTCTCTCTCTCTCTCTCTCTCTCTGACTCTCTCCCTCCCTCCCTCCCTCCTTCCCTCTCTCCCTCTTGGCCATCACTCCTCCTTACTTGGCCAGTTTCTCCTCTCCCCAGAGGGCTCAGATCAGGGTTTCTTGCTCTAAGTCACTCTCAGGACTGGTTATCCAGCCTGGTGCATCTCATAATCCTCCTTGCTTCCCTCCTTCATATTGAACCAAGTGTTTGTACACCAGCCACCTTAACCCAATAGTGAGATTCTCAAGAGCAGAGGCCAAATCTCTAAAGCTGAAACTGTACCTGCCTGTAACAAGTGATCAATCACTATTGTTGGAATGAATTATGGAGGGCATAGAAAGGGAAAGACAGGAGAAATGGTAAAAATGTAAAGAAATTTGATTTTAGATTGTTATATTTCTTCAACATAGAACACAGTGCATACATGTAATTTTCCGCTATTCTTCTGTTCAGAGAGAGGTGACTCATAACAGTAGTGGTGACATAGCTATTCATTGAGACTAAGGGCTTGTATGAGGTTTTTGAAGATCTTCAGGTGTATGGGTCAATAGGCACAAGGCATCAGCCATTCATCTTAGGAAGAAGACACTGTCAGAGGAAATTCTGGGGAACTTTTCTTAAGTGGTTTATTTTTTAGGACAAATTTGTACATTTGCTTTTGCTTCATCCACAGTGATTTTGAAAAATACATACAAATGGTTGAATAAAGAAGGTGATACCTAAAGTAGAGCTCTCAATTTGAAAAAAATGTTGAATGAGCTGAGTCAAGGAATAATGAGAGTGATGAAATAAAAAAGTCAAAAAGATTGAAAATAATTATGGGAATTTCACAAATACAAACCTCATTGGTCAGGACATTCTCCTTATACTAAAGAGGGTCTGGGGAAATACAGACCAACATTTGCTTAAATTAACTTCTCTTCCATGCATATAATTCCAAAATAATAAATGAGCACTCTGACTTTATAAATGGTGAGAGACTAACTTGCCCAGAAAAATAGTAAAAATAAAACTGTTAGGACCTAGATAGTGGGGGCTTCGAGGAAAGATAATTAGACATGATTATATACTAGCTAATTGAAACTCTGAAGAGTCAAAAATAATGATTATAAATATTTTATAGAAACAAAAGTGCATATAAGTATGTTAGTTTCTATAATATTTCAAATGTAAATAAATAATCTCAAAAGCATCTGCACAATTTGGATCCACATACATGTGATGAAACTGGAATTTTCATAGATGGTTTTAAACTTCTTTTCATCTTTATTCCTACAGAATGTAATTGACTTGTTCAATATCACACTGGGAGCAAAATCAGATTATCTGATTCTAATATAAAGCTCCTACAAGAACCCCACAATATTTCTATAAACTGGAGGAAGCATGTCTTCCCCCAAAAGAGTGGCATTATGAAAAATAGAAAAATATCCTATCACATTCAATAAAATAGTTTCTTTTAAGATAGGATGGTATAATAGAATTCTATTATAAGTAATCAAACATTTTATTTTTTGTGTGTTTCCTTCTATTCTTTGTTAATCTGAATATGATGGTATAATAGAATTCTATTATAAGCAATCAAACATTTTAATTTTTTGTGTTTCCCTCTATTCTTTGTTAATCTGAATATGTGACTTTAATGTGAATATAGCTTCTTAAATAAAATTTAGATGACATCAGTAATTTAAGGATATCATTTCAAATATGTGCTTTAATACTATAAGCACATCTTAATAATTTCTTTCTATAATTTTTTCTAGCCTTTATGATAATATTAGAATTAGAGGATTCACTTAAGAGTTTGTTGAAATATAATAAAGTTCCCAGTTTAAAACTATCACTATGAAGTATTGATAGTATGCCAGATACTTTTCTTTTAAAATCAATGTATAAAGTATTTATATTTTTTTAAGAGAGAGTGAGAGAGAGAGAGAGAGAATTTTTTTAATATTTATTTTTTAGTTATCAGCAGACACAACATCTTTGTTTGTATGTGGTGCTGAGGATTGAACCCGGGCCGCACACATGCCAGGCGAGCGCACTACCGCTTGAGCCACATCCCCAGCCCCAGTATTTATAGTTTTGTAGCAAAATTAGTATAACTTCTTACAGTGACCACTTAAGAATAGATTTTTGGAATGCAGAAATATTCTTTTAATCTCCTTAATAACACATTTCTCATAACAATAAGAGAAGTTCTACAGAATGTTACTCAAGAAACTCAAAGAACTTTCTAACTATACATCACTATTACTCAATACTTTTAATGAGGACAAGCTAGTAGATGTGCTGATTTTAGAGGAATGAGGCACCCTGAGTTTTATCAAATGCCATTCTCTGCAAACAAGCTTCTGATGAAATCAACCATAAAGAAAATCCTCACCAAATCCTATTTATTAGTTTATAGTTATTAGCAGTGAATTGAAAGGCACAGTAGTTTCCAGCAAGAATTCATTGGGGATTAAGTTCTCATCAAGACCAGCTGTGGGTTTAACTGTGCAGAACTCCTGACATGACATGAGTTTGTTGCCTGATTTGAGAATTTGCCAATTAATGCTCTAAATGGAAAATATTCTTAATCATGGAGAAATTGTTTCCATTTTATCATGACTCTTTCATGCTGTCTTTTGAAGGTCTAGGCAGAATAATTTATTTCATTCTCACTGAACAAATTAGAAAAGTATTAAAAACCATGAAAGAATCTAAGATACTATTGAAGAGACTGAGATCCAGAGAGATGAAGGCTTTGCCCAGCTGCAAGGCTTGGATCACAAGTCAGCCTCCCAGGATCCCATTTAGTTCTCCCCACAAAGGCAGGGCCAGTAATGCTAGTTGCATATTTTATTAAAAGCAGCAAAAGAAGATGATTCATTTCTCAACCCTTTTCTTTCTCCTTTCTGTAGCTTCGCTGTGTTGAAGATCTTCAGACAATTCAGGTGATCAAGATTTTAAGATATGAAAAGAAATTGGCCAAAATGTGCTTCGTGATGGTATTTACCTTCCTGATCTGCTGGATGCCTTATATTGTGGTCTGTTTCTTAGTGGCTAATGGTTATGGACAACGGGTCACTCCAACAGTATCTATTGTTTCTAATCTCTTTGCTAAATCCAGCACTGTATACAATCCAGTTATTTATATCTTCATGATCAGAAAGGTAAGCTTTGTAATTGATTTTACCATGTGGGAGGGGTTGGAAAAATATAATACTTTTATAGAGGTAATTCAGAACAGCTTCAATGATAAAAAATCCAAATCAAGGATTTTATAGAAAAGTAAAGGGTTCAGGAAGAAATGTTGAATATTGCCAAAGAAAGTAATAAATTCTAGTCTTAGTCCTTACTTTATTTACGTGTTACAAAATGAGGGACCACGACCTCAATAGTCAAATTATAAATGCATTCACTAACAATTACTTGTTGTACCCTTTCTTTCAACCAAGGCACTAGAGATGAGTGCTTCTTAAACTTTCTTATGTATGTACCACATCTGAAAATATTGTAAAAAATGCATCTTCTGATTCAGTATGTCTCTGTGCCCAATATTCTGCATTTCTAACAAGCTCCCAAATGATCCTGATGTTGTTTCTGTTTCCTGGGAACTTGCTTTAAACAGAAAGTCTAAATGATACAACAAACAAGAATGAATAAGACAATGGTTCTTGCCCATAGTGTTTTATATGAAAAAACATTTTTTTTGAAACAGATACTGTGAGTGACCCTACTGATTAGTAATTTTTATTTTTTAAAAATTCTCCACCTAATTAACCCATTGTTCTAAATGTGCAACACATAAAAACTTAAACTATAAGTGTACCACATATGGTAAGTTTGAAATAATATTTGAATGTTTATTATGTTTGCAGGATTGAAAACTTAGGATTTAATAGGTTAAAGGAATATTCGTGAGTCACTTAGGCTATGAATTCTACCAGGAAGGGCTCTTTCTTTGCTATTTATATTATTTGTAGATTATAGTACAGTAGTCCGTGATGACTGAATGTTTGTGGACTGGATTCATGTTCAAAATCCCTTAAATAAACAGACATATTATTCACAGAAGGTGTAAACATTGAACCAATAAGGATTATAAGGTATTAAATAGTCCTATGTGGTCTAGTTAACAAGAATTTTAATAAATAAAAGACATAGAACTCCAGGATGACGTAGGTAGATCTGAGGCTTACCCTGCATCCGCTAACAAACAACAACAACAAAACAGCCCAAATTAAGCTCAGCTAATTTTCTTGAATGTTAACTTAGATTAAAGGCCAAGTTTTTACTTGGCCCTTATTTATTAAATCAACTTTCTTTTTTTTTTTTCCCTCTATCCAGTTTCGAAGATCCCTTTTGCAGCTCCTATGTTCCCGACTGCTGAGGTGCCAGCAGCCCGCTAAAGACCTACCAGCAGTTGGAAATGAAATGCAGATCAGACCCATTGTGATATCACAGAAAGATGGGGAAAGGCCAAAGAAGAAAGTGACTTTTAATTCTTCTTCCATTGTTTTTATCATCACCAGTGACGAATCTCTATCAGTTGATGACAGTAATAGAACCAGTGGGTCCAAAGCTGATGTAATCCAAGTTCGTCCTTTATAGAAATGAAAGATGGAGCCTTAGATGGGACAGCACATTTGGACTTATAAGGATTGTTCTGGAATTCCTATTCTATGTAATATCAACAGAATTTCTGTGACACAGCAGGAAATCTGAGTTGCCCATATGTTCTCTGTCCTCAACAAGCAAGACACATTCTTTTAATTCAATGGGTGCTTTACATAATGAAAAAACATTTATGGCACAAGATGGGCATCTGGCACCATCATCTTCTAATGTGTTGAGAATTTTCATTTCAAATGTATTTTTAAATGACTATATTTGCCAAAGCACACTGTAAAAGTAAATTTTGTCTCATACATATGTATGAAATAGCTAGACCTTCTTGAATTCTCTGTAGTGTTGGGTCCTATTCAGTCATGTTATATGACCAAATTAAATTATCAAGGGAATAATTCTAGGATGAAAATCAATCTGAAACAAACAAAAAACTGCGGTTACACATGTAGTATGATAAAGAAAAGCTTCATACTAACATGTTGCTGAGTAAGTGCCAGAAGACACAATTAGGAAGCATCACAGTAAAGAGAATAAGATGACTTCAAGGTAATCATGGTGTGTGGTTAATTATGCACTAGTAGGAAACACACAGGTGGAGATGATGTTGATGGCAGAGCAGTATCTCCATCTATTTCATTTCAAGTGTGAGCACGGCAGGATTATCATTTTATTTTAATACTTTCCCACAATTTTGGCAAGAAAAGGAGTTCTAAGTAAGAAAACAACTTACATTTGTAGAGGGATGAAAATAAGTGTTTAAGTGTATTCATAAAATGTATTATTCAATATTCATTGCCCATCAATCACTCCACTGAATAACTGATGGTCAATGTTAGTGAAGGGGCCATTTTTCCATGGGTCATTGTTTAGACATGTAGGATACCAGAATATGCTACCCTTGGGTAGCATATGTCCATTTTGCATAAGCATTACTTTGACCTGAAGACAGTTGAGAAGAAGTGATATAAGGAAAGCTCTCTGGAGCCAGGTGTGGTGGTACATGCCTGTAATTCCAGTGGCTTCAGAAGCTGAGGCAGAAGGATTGCAAGTTTAAATCCAGCCTCAGCACTTTAGTGAGGCCCTAAGCAACTTAGTCTCAAAATGAAAAGGGCAAAAATAAAAGGGATGTGATTCAGTGGTTAGGCACCCCTGGATAAATCCCTGGTACAAAAAGAAAGAAAAGGAAAGGAAAGAAGAGAAAAGCTCTCTGGCTTCCACCTATATTTGCTTAAACCTGGGACATACATTTAAAAAGGTATTCTCCTCTCTTCTACCAGGAAGGACAAGGCCCATCACAGAGACAACTTAGACACTTACCAGCCTGTAGACAGCACCAGAAGAATTTCTATAACTCCCCTTTGCTAATCTCTAAACAAGTTACTGCCCCTAGAGACTCAGTCTTTTTCTTTTGTCTTGTCACTTCTCTAGCAGTTTGCTGTTTGTTGAAGATGCCATATAAGCCAGGGAGTTCTAAGCCAGCTCTTTTGAGATGTACTCATTCTTTGGGCATCTCCCTTGTATATATGAAATATATGTTAATAAAATTCTGTTTGTGTTTGTTCTTCTCTTGTTAATCTGTCTTTTGTTGTAGGGGCCCCAGCCAATGGATCTAACATAGGTAAAAGGAAAAAGTATTACTTTCTTCCCCTACACACTAAACATGGATTATTAGTGTATCAAGAACTTGAGAATGTCTTTGACAATAGAGAAAATAAATACTGAATCATTTTATTTTACTGCCTATTTTTTTTTATTTCCTAGATGACTCTCCTTCTAGTGTTACATCTTTATAATTAATTGTATTTGAAGAACTTCTAAATGGCTCAGTTGGCCTATTGAAGAAAGAATAACCAAAGAAAATATTTCACTAAATGCGTTTTAAAAAAATCAAGTTCAATGCTGGTTCTGTTGTAGTATATGGTTCAAGAACAAGTTACTAAACTGTTTCTAAGGGTCTGAAATTGAATAAAATATGGCTTCATATTTCTATAAAAGCTGTCTCCCCTTGTTTACTTTCTACTCTCTTATATAAGCGTTTGTTTTATGAATAAAATCTTTTCTTATCCTTCACTTATTATTGCATTAATGGCCTTTTTTTTAATCTTCAGAAGGGCATACATAGCATTGAAAACCAGGAAATGAAATAGATTCATTCAGTAACTCTTTGGAACTCCACTGAATCATTTATACTTCATTTATACTTCCGGTTTTATCAAGTGAATCTGAGCCTTGCAATTAGAAAAGGTCCATCCAGATGATGAAAAGCTCAGTTAACATGTTAGGCAAAACTGTGATTTTTTTTTTTTTTTTTTTTTAGTCTCAAGTGTTGTCAATCTTATTGTGAGTCCTACTATGTCCTTTAAAGAACACACACACACACACACACACACAATGAGTGCCTTCCCAGAGGCCTCCAGAGCCTTATTTTTTGAGAAGTGAAAGAGATCTTTGTCATTGAATTTTAAAATGTAGAATGACCCAATCTGAGCGTGTAAAACATGATGGAGAAGCTACATGTTGCAACTTTAAAAAAGTAATGTTTCCCCTATTCCTGAGCAATTGCAACTAACACAGAGAGATTCAACATTAAGTTTAATTATATGCTAACAACTATCTTTCAATAGTGAATTAAATATGACAACACAACGGAGATATATTTTTTGTTACTTAATTTTGATCACAAAGAAATCCAACATTTGCTACCTTTGGACCTTTACATTACTGGTTAATGAAATAGGGATTTGTTCTAGTGACTCCATAGAGTTTGCAGGTAAACCTGCTCCATATTCTGGAAGTAAGTGATTCCTGTTTCAGGGTCTTCTCAGGTAGTCCAGAGGGCTCAGTGACATGTAGTTCAGGAGTAGGTAGGTACTACCAATGGCTATCAGCGACCCAAAGATAAAGAGTCCTTTGTTTATCACCTGTAAGGACAGCAAGAACTCTTATTTCATTTATCTAGAAATTAAAATCATGAAATAGACTTTATTCACACCCCACAAGAGTACAGTTTCCTTTTTGTTCTTTAACCCGAAGAATCAATTAAATTGTATGACCTGATTTCTCTCTCTGCACTTATTGTCCTGCATTCTAACAGTCTGCTGCTATTTCTTTCTCCCTTTCATATTTCTATCTCTTTGAGGTCAGAGATCCTATTTTATTTATCTTTGTACTGCTAAATCTTGATGCCTTCCAATCCATTCTCCCTACAGCGAAGTGATCTTTCTAAAATCCAAATCTTTGGTCCCTCGGATTCTCTCAGGCTTACCTCTCCAGCTTCCCCAGTGGCCATGTAGCCATTCTCACACCTATGTACTGCCTTCCAGCTCTACATAAATACTTGCTATTCCCAATTCTGTGTTCATCATGTGTCTTCAGGCTTCTCTTCTCTGGTCCAGTTGTGTCCTCCTGCTAGTCTCATCACCATGCCCAGTTCCATATCTATGTATTCAATAAACTATGAACTTTTATAATTTCACCCATGCAAAACAGATCATCAGGAATTTGAATTCCATTTAATGGTATCTCTGGGTGAATTGCCCAAAACTAACGTATCATAGCATTGCAATGGAATTTGATAGTGTTTTATAAGTGCTTCAGTTCTGTCCAACTGTACAAATTAAACCCATAAGAATATTGCAGGATGAAAAAGTCAAGAGTACATCACATCACATCACTAAAATAAAGGAAAAAGCCAAGAAATATTGGTCTCAGTTTCTTTTTCAAATTTCTTCCCTTCAAAATCTCTCTCATAATTTCTCTTTGTAATGTTGTTCAGTTGGCACTCTGCCTTCTGAGTACTCAGGACAGTTTTTGTTTGGAAAGCAAACAGTTGGTACTTGTCCTATCATTTCTGTATTTTCTTGAAATAAAGATAAACATAATCTGTCAACACATCAGGCTTTTTTTTTTCAATAGTGTAATTTATTCCCACCTTTTTTTGCCAATGCCAACGCCGTACTGCCTCATGGTATCTTATCCTGGAGAAAGTGACCTGTAGAGAAGTTTTAAAAGTATTCTTGTGGATTCTTCAATGGCTGAACAGAGGTTTAAAATGAGGGGAAGTCTTAAATCCAGACCTTACCATGGTATAGAGCGGGATAAAGGTAGATGGCATAATTGCATGGAGAAACCTCTCTATGTTCTTTTGAAAAATGAACCACCTGGAATTGACATGTGCTCGCATCTGCAATAATAAAAGTCTTTTTTAAAAACACCTTGAACAAAATGTCTTTCCTTACTACATTTATTATTCTTCATTCCAACTTAGCACAAGGCTGGACACAAGGTAGTCAAATAAATTCCCATTTTCATAGTGGTCATTCCCAAACTCTTTTTAAGAAATTTCAGTAGTACAAGACATTATCTTGAAAATGTACAGTGATCACACAAAACCTATTAGGAAAGTCTAGTTTGGTCAGGGGTCAGTATAGGAACTCTATTTCAGCAAAGGGCTTGGGTAATCAGACCTATGGGTAATCTGTGAACTCAGAGATTAATCAATTTCGGTTGTTTCTTGGTTGATTTGTAATATTGCTTATGGCAACAAGTGATTGTTTAAAGTTATGTCTGTCTCGATCTATTATTCCTTATACAGGACAAATACTGTGTTGTCAAAGCCATCTGTTTTTTAAAGACTCAGGCAAGATACATCAATGAAGTATTTGAGTATCTCCTAGAACTTCCTTCACCATATATGAAATTGGGCTCAAGGTAAAGTACTTTTATTTCTTTATGTCTTCAGAAGAGGTGGAAAACAGTAATACTCTTCCTTCAATTTGTCTTGTAAAATTTTCTTTTCATTATTTGAAAACTGTAATCACAATCACTTGTCATAAGCTTTTCATGTTGATAGGGAACAGAGAGATGTGAGGAGTGGGAATGTGAGGTTATGGGACTAATTCTATAAAATGGGCCCACTGTACTGACCTCCATATGCTTTCACTTTTAAAAAACAATTTACCTGCAGCTACGAGTAGCCCAAATCCTTAAGATATGTTACATTCATTAGCAAACTACCTGAGAAAGGCAGACTGCAGGAGAAATTCAGGCCCCCAAGAGCCAACAAAAACACAAGTTACCCTGAAGGGGGTATTTTTGTGACCATTAACAGACCAGATTCCAGAACTCAGAGTTATAAGGATAATTCTCCCTATCTATAAAATCTATACGAACAAGTTTCAATTAGAACCAGTCAGCCTGGGCCAAAGTGACCCAAAGTTGACATGGCAGTAGGGACTTGAAAGTCTGATGTCATCCTGCTGTCAGTCAAAAGTCACAAGGTGGACTTGAGTACAACTCCCTGGAAATTTCTCTGGAACCCCAATAAAGCTGGAGGGCAGGAGAGGCATACCACCCCTCTTCTCTCTAAGAGGACCTACTTTCTCCCTTGAGAATGTCCCCTTTCCTATTCCTTTTAATAAATTCACGCCTGTTACTCTGAGTGACATGTCTCAAATCTTTCTGATCCAATTGTAAGAACCAGGGTTTGATGAGGGGGCCCTTCATGCTGCTTTAGTTTCCCATAAAGCACTAGCCCTGTAACAATGCAATTGGTTTAAAATGGAATTAATGTGTATTTTTTCAAAGCACTATTTTTTCTAACCAGGAATTTTTTTAGTATTTTTTCTAACCAGGAATTTATTTAGTATTATTATACATTTTATTCAGTACACAGGCTTTAAAGTATATGCAGTACTACTCTAAATATACAGTTCATAATATTAAGGTTGGAAAGCTCAGCTAACATTTATTAGATTCTGTAATTAGTACATCTCCACATTATATTTTCATTAAAGTAGCCTATTACTAACTCTACTGTCTAATATCTGAGAATGAACTATTAGATATTTTGTCATTTGTTACCTCCTAAATGTCCCTGAAGTGCAGATGGAAATGATGTTTTGTGGGTCATTGTTGCTAGTAACATATTTATGTCTAAGGAATACTGTGTGTGTTCTTTTTTTAATATTTATTTTTTAGTTTTCAGAAGACACACATCTTTGTTTGTATGTGGTGCTGAGGATCAAACCCGGGACGCAAGCATGCCAGGCGAGCACGCTACCACTTGAGCCACATCCCCAGCCCACTGTGTGTTCTTGTCTGTACCTGTCTTTAGACATGATGCATGATATTGGGCTGGAACACAAAAAAATAAAATTATTGCTAATCTTATCAGTGAATCATTTTACAGAATGGAGCCAAAACTTACCTCTATGTAATTGTACATAGATAGGTCTGAAATTGCATGGTCATCTGGAATTCTAAACCTTGAGAATTCAGGAAGGCACATACCTGGAAACCAAGTTAAATAATATTCAAAACAGTCTATAAAAACATGCTAGACTCTATCTAGGTCAAATTAAATAGTATATTCACTACCCACATTTTTTCTAACCTTTTAAAACTATGGATAACTATTCTGTATGATCAATAATCTATGGTTATTGAGAAATGTCTACAGATTATTTCCTGTTGAGATTAAATAAGATTTACAATAAAGATAATACATATTATAATTCTGTATTGGTAAAGTCACTATTTTTTTTATTTCACAAATGGAAAACAGCCCATGTAAGTGGCTCTCAGCACTGCTTAGAACCTGCCACTCTCTTCTTGGTGTTTGTTTGGCTCTTGTGCACACTTGTCTCACTGTACCTTATTATCTTAAATACCATCTCCCTCATTTTTCGGTGAGTTCTTAGAAGGCAGGCTCCATGTTTTTATATATAAAATCTTAACCTGGTATACAAGAAATATTGAAATATTTGAAAGGTGAATGACTGAGATTACATTCACATAGCTGAACGACTCTAGTTGTTAGAGATGCCACTTCCAAAGTCAGGAAATCTGGGCTCAAGTCCCAATTCACCATTTCCTAACGACATGTTTTTGGGAAAGTTACTTAACTTTAATTTCACTGTTGTAAAATGGAGATAAGACTAGTACTGATGTTCCATGTATTCTGTGAGGATCAAACAAGGGAATGCTTTAAAAAAAACAAGAATAAATATATATATATATATATATATATATATATATATATATATGTGTGTGTGTGTGTGTGTGTGTGTGTGTGTGTGTGTGTGTGTTAAATGTTCAATAATGTTAATTAGGATTATTACTCTTGATTACTATTGTTTTATCTTTGTTCTCTAGTATCCAAAACCAGTAATGACGGTATGTTCTGATACATGAATTCTTCATCCACCTTCATTATTGCATGCAAAACAAGGGCTAAGAAGGAATGAAGCCAAATACCTCTAGTTCCTGAGCATCTGGGTGTGCTGACTGGGAAAGAAAGATGGAAATGGAGGAGGAGGAGGAAGAAGAGAAGGAGAAGGTTTCCCTAACATCCTATAATTCCTTTAGGCCCATGCAGCAGTGTCTGATGACTTCCTGTAACACTGTAACAAACAATTTACTATGAACTTACTTTATACCATGATTTCTCTCTTTTTTTTCTTTTTAATGCTTTACATAGATTCTTTTATTTATTCTTCACAACTCCTTCATATTATTATTCCTACTTTACAGATGAAAAATAATGAAGGTTTTAGAAAGATAAAGTGACTTGCTCAAGATCACACAGCTAAGACTGTGAGTTACTATTCAAATCTAGGTATAAACTTCAAGATTGGTTTTCTAGTCTACCTCTTATCCGAAACAGGTTTAAATTCAGAGGTACCTTTTGAGAACAGGTGATGCTGGGAAGCAGGGAAAGTTTGTACAGTTCCTGGGCTATTGTTTCCAATTCCTTTTATGTATACATTTAATTTCATAATTTTGCATAAAAAGTTACAACTTCAATATTTGTAAAATTGACTGAATCAATTTCTAATTAATCAAAAGACAAATGTAGCTCAGTGGTAGAGCACTTGCCTAGTATGTGTAAGGCACTGGGTTCAAATCTCAGTACCGCATATAAATAAATAAACAAGTAAAATAAAAGTCCATTGACAACTTGAAAAAAAAAAGACAAATGGAAGTATCAGCTGCAACATTCCTTTCTTTTTGTTTGGACCTTGATTTTTACAACTATAAAAGAATTGAGACCTGAGGAAAATCTGGAGATTTCCTGGTGAAATTCGCTTTTTTTTTTGGGGGGGGGGGGTGGGTTGTACTGGGGACTTGCTGTGTTAATTAGGACCTTGCTGAGTTGCTGAGGCTGGCTTTGAACTCGGAATCTTCCTGCCTTCGCCTCCTGAGCCACTGGGATTACAGGCATGCACTATGGCACCGGCTACAGAAAGAAATGATACAACAGTAACAAAAATCTATGCCTGTAGTCCTAACCTACTCTTGGTCTTGGCATGGCCTGGTGTAATTATGTCACATAGTATCATATAAAACCAACCCACTAGAGCTGCCAATGTCCCAGGGAGAGTGCCTAGTATCAGGAAAAGCATTCGAGATGACTGATTTGCTGCAAACTTTTATAGGGAAAAAAGCAAGAAAGCACTGAAGTGTTTCTGAGGCTGCTCTGTAAGGGATGCAGGCAGGGGATTTTACTTAGGTTGAAAAGGAAGAGAAAGGAACACGTCTCCATCTAGTTTTGGTATTCTGAATTTTTATCTTTGCACAGATGGCTGCAATGAGCTTGGTACTGTTTGGGTTGTTAAGTGTCCCTCAAAGGTCCACATAGTAAAGCCTTGCACCCAAGGAGGCCACTATTGGAAAGTGGTTGAACCTTTAAGAAGTGGGACTAGTGGGGAATCTTTGTGACATTAGGTACATGCTCATCAAAGGGATCGATCGTGGGGACTCCAGTCTCTTCTTTTATTGTCCTCCAGCCATGAAGAAAGCAGTTTTTGCTCTGCCGTGGGCTCCTGCCATGATATACTGCCTGACCAAAGGCCCAAAGCAACAGAGCCAATTGCTTGTGAACTGAAACCTCCAAAATTATGAGCCAAAATAAAGCTTTTCTCTTTATAAGTTGATTATCTCAGGTATTTTTTATAGTAATGGAAAACTGACTAAGATAGACTTCCATGAACAAATGGAGGTGGGTGTCCATTGTCTGAGATGGGCAACAATAATGGCAGAGATTGCTAACTAAAAAGTTTATAATCCTGAATGAGGAACACACATCATGGATTTGTGATCACTGAGGATCAAAAGTAGGCTTACAATTAGTCAGTAGGGCTAATCCATGACCATTTGAGAAATTTTACTTACTAATATCATTATTGAATTTATCCATTAGCTCATCAAATACCAAGCAGTCTTCAAATCCCTGAAACAAGAAAAACAATGAGAAAAAATAAATGAAACGATAAATTAAAAATTACAAACTGCTCAATTTCAAACAGAATGTGCATCAGTGAGTATAATGTTTAAGCTGTTTATCTTCAGCCAATACATAGCACTTCAGTTGTTACCTGGCACTGATGATAAAAGACCATCAACTGCATGTTTGATGGTGCTGCCTTTGCTCAATTCATATTTATATGGTTATAGTGATAGAGAGTAGGACCAAATATTTAAATTATACTACTATAATGTCAATGGGTTCCAGTTCTCCTTTGAAAAGAACAAACAACCATATTATTCTACCATGAAGTTTAGAATTTAATATTTAAACCATTCAGTTCTTTAAGATTTACATTTAGAACAATTTAATGATAGGATAAAATTAATTTAGTTCCTATACCTCAAGATTAAAGTAAATTTCCTAAATCAAAATTGATAAAGTGCTATGCTAATTTTAGTGAGGAAAAAGAAAAATCAAAAACTGTTTCCTGTTTTCCAGGAATTCAAGCTATAAGGTTTTTGTTGTTGTTGTTTGTTTGTTTTTTGGTGTGTGGTACTAGAGTTTGGACCCTGGGTGCTGTACCACTGAGTTACATCCCAGCCCTTTTTATTTTTTATTGTGAGGCAGGGTCTTCCTCAGTTGTTCAGGCTGGACTTGAACTCAAACAGGAAGATTCTCCTGCCTCAGCATCTACAGGTTTGCACCATTATGCCTGGCTCAAATTAAACTATAATTTTAGAGAAGATATAAAAAATTTTAAAAATATACTTAACATCCATTATAGAGATCACATCTAAAGTAAGTAAATTTATTTGTCAAATAAATTACAGTTCAGAATACAGGATTTTAATGGCATAGGAATTTAGAAATGAAAGATAGCATAGGAGATTCACATAACAGTTTTAATTTCTCATTTCAACTAATGCATTTACTCTCCACAAAATTCTGAGGTAGATACTATTAAAATACCAGTTTTATAAATTAGAAAGTAAAGATAAAGTAAGTTGTACAAGAATACACTGTGAAATAACCTTGGAGGTAAGATTTGAACACAGACTTTCTAATACCTGAACACTTAATCCATTATGGTACAGTTGATGCCTTCTTAAGTTTCAATAATACAAAATGTTTACCACTGCTCTGTGGAAAATGCAGTGGATTAGATTCAAAGGCTCTTTTTTTAAAAAAATAAATTAATGAATGCTTTTTATCCTCCCCCAAAAAAAGCTCTTTTCAAAATTTAGAATATATTCTAATCACTAAAACAAAACATGACTAATGATTAATAAACTACTAGCATGCATGTGTGTGTAAATACATACTTACACATATACAGAAAATTAATTAGAATTTTGTAAATAGTGTTCAGTATTTAAGAACTATTTTTTTTCTGAAATTTCTTTCTGGCCAGATTATTAAAATTTCCACGATGGCAGTTGTATTCAACATTGAATCCATTTCAGAGTTTTAGTTAGCCCTGTCAATCATGTTTCCCTTTCCCTTTCCTTTAGAAAGAAAAAGTAGAGAAGAAACAGATAATTTAGAATATTTTTTCCTGTTTTTGAGGCTAATATCATATACTTGTGCATAGTCTCTAGGCAAACTTTATTTTAAAAATTAAGACTTGAGGGCTGGGGTTGTAGTTCAGTGGTAGAGCGCTTGCCTAGCATGTGTGAGGCACAGGGTTCAATTCTCAGCACCACATATAAATAAATAAAAATAAAGTTTTATCAACAACTAAAAAAATTAAAATTTAATTAAAAAAAAGGAAACTACAATTACTGAGAACCAAGTTTCCAAATGTTGAGCTATGGATATATTTTTCAACTGAACAGAATACTATGCTATGCTTTATAATTCTTTTTCTACATTGGATTACTGGATCAAATAATCCAAATCCTGACTAGTGTTGGCAATTCATCTAGTTAAGCAATTGGTATAATTGTTTAATTGACTGTGTTCTTGGTTATCACATGGGGATAATCTTAGACTTGTCTTTTATTTAAGACAATTAGGTTGAGACTAACCTGGAAATATTTCTAGAACCTACCTAGGGGAAAAACAAAACAAAACAAAACAAAAAACTCACCGCATTCATTCCTTGCCCAAAAAATGGGACTATGGCATGAGCCGCATCTCCCATCAGCACACAATGTGATTTAAAGTGAAAGGAAGAGCACTTTACAGATATCATGGGCTGGGCAGGCAACAAAAAGAAATCTTCCACCAGGGCTTGCCTTCGGAAGAAAGTAAGCAGAATAAAAAGACTTTAAACTTAGTATTAAATTCTGCTGGATTCTTTCAAAGTTGTTGGCTTTTTTTAAATACAAGATTTTACTGAAAAACACACAAGAATGTCAAGAAGAAAACAGGACAGGGAAAAGTGAAGTTTCTACCAGTCTTAAAATTCCATTGTTCTAATTAACTTCTTGATTTGCCATAATATTAATCATATCCCAAAAGAACAAGCTTGACCACATTTGAACAATTTGAAATATTTCTGTGTCATATGTGATGTCATGAAGACAATATCATGCACATAGGTCATGGAATTTTTAAATGCATTGGTATATTTTTTAGCATTCTATGGAAATATTGAACAAATGCTACTATGCATTTGATTAGTCTACAGCAAACCAAAATTAAAATTAATATGAATCCTATGTATTTGGAAATGAACAATAGCAACCAAAATAGTATTTAGGGGGACTGGAATATGTTAATCAAAGGGCACACAATTTCAGAAGGAAAAATTCAAGAAATTTATTGTGCAACATGATGACCGAGACATAAAACAAACAAAAACACCCTCTAGCATTTATAATGCATCTATAGGGGCTTTGTGAAAGTTATAAATAGAGAAACAGTACATACCCTCAAGTATCTTAAATCTGACTGGAGAGGCAAGAAACAGCCATGGAAAATTTTTAAAAGTAATAAGGGCTAAATGTGATGTGCAGACACATTCCATGTTTGAGAAAGAGAGATCAATACAGACTGATTTTTGTCTACAGGAAAAGTAGGTAAACTAGCAATTTTTAAGGGCCAACAGTGAACTATACCTTCCTCCTTGTTTATTGGATTTTCTTAACTACCCTAAAAAGTAGGAATTATGATTTTAAAGGTGAAACTCAAGAAAATAAGGGGCAGAAGTAATATTAAAATCCTGCTCAATTATAGCCTGAATGTTTATGTTTCCGTAAAATTCATATGTTGAAATTCCAATCCTCAATGTAATGATGTTTGGCCTTTGAGAGGTGATTAGATCATGAGAGCAGAGCCCCCATGAGATGTGACTAATGCCCTCATAAGAGACTCTAGAGAGACCCCCTCGTTCCTTCTACCGTGTGTGTTCACAGGGAGAAACTGCCTTCTATGAACTAGGAAGCAGGACCTCATCAGACACTGAAACTGTTGGCACCTTATTCTTGGACATTCCAGGCCTCCAGAACTCTGAGAAATAGATTTCTATCATTTATAAGCCACCTAGTCTATGGGATTTTTATTATAGCAGTCTGAACAGAGTAACATATATTCTTCTGGCAGCATTGGGTTGCCTTCATAAGGATATCATTAGTGCACAAACAGAGCTGGTTTCCAGGAGGAAAAGTCAATGGGAGGACGGGCCCTTCTGAGAGTACACAACCTGGTCCAAAGGAAGGGTAATGACATACATAGGTTAGAGTAGCAGCAGATCTAAAGCCAGAAAGCTAATACAATCAGCTGTCAATTGTGCATAACTTAATGTCTACAGGTCCTGTGCTAAATGATTTGTAAGCATGATCTCATTGACTCCTCATAGTAATGCTTCGGGTTAGGTACTATTATTTATCAGCATTTTACCATGAGGGACCCAAGACAGGAAAACTGGTATAACCAGTAAGTGTTGGATCTGAGACTGAGGTTGTTAGATGTATCTATTCTGTGTCTCCTAGTAGAAGGAAACACAGCCAAGTCCAAGGAGCCCAAGGAACCTGAGGAGCCTGCACAGATACATGACAGCCCTAGGACACTGGTGGCTTGTCTTTCCAGGAGAAACTGGACATGGCATGAACTTTTTCAGAATTCCTGCTCACAGCAGAACATTCACTTAGACTTTTGCTCTATGTAGACTTCTGTCCAGGTTACTTCATAATCTGTCATGCTTAATGAAAACAAATAAGTTGCATAACCTTTATTTGACTTTGGAATAATTCAAACCAATAAAGCAAAAGGCATAATTGTGCATTTTGAAACTTACTCTCCAATTAGAGGGATGGAGTCCGGAAAGTACTTCTGGAAGAAATCCAGCACATCCGTCCTGGTTAGAAGTTTTTCAAACTCTTCAAAAGGCATGAATAAAGTGCACGTGAAAGATTTGTTCTGTGAGAAGAAGAGGAACAGAGTGAGAAAGGAAAGTAGATTCCTAAATCGCAGGGCTTCTTTTAAGGACCAAGGAGCTCTGGTAAGGAATGTCCAAGCAGATAGAAAAGGCATTATCACTTTGTCCCCATCTTGAGAAGAAAGCTCTGCTAAGTCCCAGGGGTGCACCTGGGCTTCCTTGCTTATTTATTAGTAGAAGTTCTACCATCTAAACTTTCCATGTTCACTAAGCAAACACTACACTCCTTAGATTACTAATAGATTGGTTGATTTTATTTCTTTTCTTTTTCATGTTTTTAAGATAGTATCAAAGGCACTGGACCACAGGATAAACAGCAACAGGAGGAAAAAGAGCAACCGGAGAACAGATGATGAGATCTATATAGGAAAAAAGCCTCAGGGTCTAATGAAAGAAAACCCAAGCTCTTTTTGGATAATGTATATTCCAAAGTCTTACAGACCTTAAAGGCTGGAGGTTCTTCATAATATGTAACCTAAATCTCTTTCACCTTACTGGGGGAGGCATTTCCTTCCAGACTGTTTTTGATGGAGATGACACATAAACAGCCATTATTCATTAAACTAAGTTAAACCTCCTTTCCAAAGTAAATAATTGGACTTCCTTCCCAGGTTTTTCCTTAATAACCTAAAACTTTCAGATATAATCACTAAATTGATTAAACAATGAAGAGATCAATTAGATATTCACATACTAGGTACAAAAGTAAGTAACAAAAAACATTCATCATAGATGCAAAATGAGAATTGGTAAGAAGTTCTATATACTACCATGTTAGGAAGTGCAATCATCATGAAGGTATTTCTAGGCCAAATATGCAGATAATTCGGTTCCATGGCATACTGCACAAATAAAAAGCATATATATGTTTGATTAGTGCTCAGATATAGCCCATCTATAAAACTGACTCTGCTTTATATTGTTTTCAGGGTAATTTCAATCAATATAATATACATTGTGATACACACATCTGCTGCTACACAAAATAGAAGTTGGTTAGAAAATACTTTACATTCCGTCTTTATAAGCTCCACCTTAGGTAGGTTTTTGATACCAGGTATAATTCAAGATTGAAAACATGCTATAGTATGTTTTCTCGCTTTCTCTTTTTCCATATACATGCATACATATATGCATATATATTTACACACATATATTTATGTAAAAAACATATAATACAAATAAACAAAATATATGAGGGTAGATATATAGGTGTGAGTGTATATATATATATATATGTGTGTGTATATATACATAATAATTTAGACCTTATTTTGGTACTTTTTTATACTGTACAGGAAAATTTTTAAGCTTAAATTTCACAAGGTTAACAAAATTTTGTTTCCCACAACACAAATAGTAGGAAGGAGTCTTATCTCTTTAGTGGAATAAATACTAAAAGAACAGTGTAATTGAAACAGAGAGCTCCCGAACTTCCTCAACAAAAGTTGAGGAAGAATAAATATCTTCCTCATGCTGAGGTCAGATGCCAAGGAAATTAAAACTGATACATTCTCTGGCTAAGCATAGCCTCGCAAAATCTACATATGTGTCACCTGACTTTTATTTGTATAAACTTTAACCATTTATGTGGGACTGGTGGAGAAACAATCAAGCTGCTTCTCCCAGTTTGATCTAAGTGCATAAAATTTACTTTTCCTTTTTCCATCCTGTGCTTATTTCTTACTCAGGCAGATGGCTGGATTAGGTCAGCTAGGGTCCAGGCAGGCTAGGTGTCCACCCTGGCATTTTCACACTTATTAGGTTTTTTGTGTCTTAAGAGAAGAGTCTGTGCCTGCCAGGCAGGGAAGTACTTGGGGGCTGGTGTGGTTAAAAGAAGGAATTTGTATAAAGGGGGAAAACATAGATTAGGTAAGAAGTAAAGGACAGTGGCTTTGTGTACAACCAGACAGAGGGGGCATAAATGAGTCTAGCATTTTAGGAGGGTCCTAAGGAGGCCAGCCTGCAAGAAGGAAACATCCTTCCCTTCCCTTCCTGCTATCTTTTGTATCTGTGACCATGTTGCCATTAAAACTCCAAAAGCTAAGGAGTGAGGAAAATTAACAACTGAAACCAATTTTGTTTGTCATTCACTGCAACAGTAATTAGAATAGTTTGGAATATAATATATATTTTCTGTCTTCCTCAGAAAATGGTTTCTATGTCATTGAGATAGAGAGAGAGTAGGATGCCAAGAACATACTTATATTCACACATACTCCATGATCCTAGAAAATAATAATCCTTTAAATATTCAGCCTCTATATTACCAAATCATGCTCTCAGTAGATATCCTTAGGAATAGCAATCCCCAGGTCAGACTCAGCAAAATCCCATTAGTCCACTCACCATAAGTACCTCCAAACATAAAAGGACAAGGCAAAATAGTTTGTTATCGATACAAAAACAACTTTTAAGATGAACCTCCAGGACTGGAGGTATAGCTTAGTGCTACAGTACTTGCCTAATGTGTGGGGAGCTCTGGGTTCCATCTCCAGCACTACAAAACACACACACACACACACACACACACACACACAGGAACCCAAAGACCTTTTTTTTTTTTTTTAACCAACCTCTCATTCCCACTCTAGTCACCAGAGATAAGAGTTCAAATGTCTGTTGTATACACATTAGGTAAAAGAAAGAAAAGGGTAGGGGAGAGGAAAAGTGAGAAAGTTTCATGGGTTTGGGGGTTTCATGTAAAAATGTTCCCATGTCTGAGTCATATTGCCATGTCAAAGCACTTTCTAAATGGCTAAGTAGTCCTAGCTACCTGGGAGGCTGAGGTAGGAGGATCAAGAACAGCCTGGGACACACAGCAAGATCCCATCTCAAAAATAAATGCAAACAAACAACAGAAAAAGCACTCTTTCATAAAAGAGTGTGTTTGAAAAAAAAAAAGAATGCATAATCTTTACTATTAATTATCTACAGTTAGAAAATAAATGGCTGTCTTAAATCTACTTTGGTAGGAACTATTCTACTTAAGTCTAGGACAATTTTTCAACAGAATTCTGTTACCCTGAAAAATCCAGAATAGGACCCACCTGAAAACCATAATCACTGAAAAATTAATGAATATATTTTTGACCAGGAGTAAGAAATAAAAAAGGCAATAAAACGTTGAAAAACGGATTTGACTGACCTATACAGTTGGCTGGTATGCAACACCACTGTCCCAAACTGACTAGCTGTCCCAAACTGACTAGCTAGGATAGATTAAGTCAGCACCTTTAAAATGACTATTTTGTAGGCAAATCAAGCATTTACTGTCACCTACTTAGAAGTCAAAATTCTTATTGCTTTTGTTAATATTTTAATTATCCTTAACAGGTTCCTATTGTTATTTGGTAATGACAAAACAAATAAAATTTAAATTTTTATTATATATTTAAAATATTAGAATGTTTTAAATTTTTTAAATTTAATTTTATACTTTAAAGATATATTTCATTTCACATGTAAAATATTAAAATATTTTAAAATAAAATTTTTATTTTTTAAAATAAAATGTATGAAAACAAATTTTATGTAAAAATTTGCATACACTTATTTGCCTCTGGTGACACTTATTGTTTAACAGAAATACTAGGGAATGAGAAAACACAATGAAAATCTCTTTGCAACAGTTTATTTGATTTATTATTTAACATTTAATTAAATCATGGTTATAAATATCTTGGATTGTCAGTGTACTGTAGAATTGGGTCCCAATCTGTTTTCTTTTCCCAAGAGAACATAGACAAATGACATTATCATAATAATACAAATCTGATGTGTGTTTCCAGTAGAGTGGTTAAAACTATACTCTTTTCTTTCTCACTCAAGAAAGCATATCAAAAGATTGAGTGAGAGTGATATAATGATGTTATTAAAGCGATACCTGTACATCTGATTTGCTATCAATTACAAAGTTCTTGTGGTAGACCTCAAACTGCTCAAGACGTGTCACTAAGAGCCACTACACTAGAATACTCTCCTTCGCTCCTAGGGAGAGGGATGTGGAAAGGGAAAGGGACTTACATCCCCATTCTTTGGTGGAATAGTCAACTCCATGTACCCATGAGGAATGTATTGCTGACTGTAATCAAAGCAGGGTTTCTTCATGAGGTAATTTCTAACCGTTGAGTACGCTCCATCACATCCTACAATGAGGTCATAAGTGATGTCTTTGGGGACTTTGTCAGATCTGAAAAACAGAATGAATCATCACCATTCCCTCCCCCCGCCCACCACCACAAAAATAATCTGGTGAAAATGATGATGTACTTCTCTTAAGGTATGAAAAGTAGTAGATCAATGGGTAAATCAAAAAATTCACTTTCATGTGCCTAATGTAGAGCTTTGAGTTAGTAGATATAAAATTAAAGTGAAAACACTTATCCCAGTAATGGTTTTGCTTATGAGAATGAGAATAATAGACAAACGTACTAATTATTGAAGACCTGTTAGCCCATGAAAGTGTGACAAGGAGTTGGTTTCTCTGCATGAAGGAAGAGAATCTTGAGAAAAGGGTAAGGTGTTCCAAGTGCATGAATGAACAGTACTTTTATACATTCCAGATGTATAAATGAATGTATGAACAACTGCATGGATGTGATCAGGATTTTCTAGGATTAACAAGTTTGGCTTGAGGAAAGGGTATCAGAAGATAAGCTTAACACTAGAATACAGTTGTCCCTCTTTATTCCTCAGTGTTGGTTCCAGGATACCAAAATTTGCTGATTTCCTTATGTAAAATAGGGTGGGATTTACATATGACCAATGCACATCCTCCCATCTTCTTTAGTTCATCTCTGGATTACTTATAAAACCTAAAACAATGTAAATGCTATGTAAAGATTTGTGTTGTTTAGGGAATAATAACAAAAAAAATGTCTGTACATGCTCAGTACAGATGCAATTTTTTTTTTCAGTTTTGATCTGAAATTGGCTGAATCTATGGATAAGGAGCCCATAGATTTGTAGGGATAATCTGTAAAATGTCAAATGTGTGGAGGGGAGAAAAAAAATCAGGATGCAAAGATAAAAGGTTTAAATACTTACTGCAAAGGGAAAAATAAATTTTTCCAGTAGAAGGATAATGTATTAAGAGTGGTAATTTAAGAAAACTCACTTAAGAAAATTTGAAGTGGAGGCAAAATACAGGTAATAGCAATAGCTTACATGTGCAGGATGAGAGCAGGACACTGCTGGGCAGCAGGAAGAAGGAATTCAGACCTGCAAGTCAGTGGGGTGCAAGACAGACTGCAGTGTGTTTACAGTTTTAATGGGTAAAAATAGGAAAAAGGTCACATCAAGAATAGTTCTAATTATGTTGGTAATGATACCAAGGAAGACAGGAATGGGAAAGGTTTGGGGAGAAATAGATGATTAAGACATGGATTATTTGAAATAATGGCAAGATGCACCTGTGGTTGAGAAATTAACATTCATTGATTAGGACTTTAATAAGGATTGAGAATTTGAAAACAGAGGCCTGGACTAGAGATGCTCATTTTAAATCCACATCGTTTTATGAGTGGTTGTGGAAGTCATGAGTGGGGATCCCAAGAATGGGCTACCATGCTTAGAAAAGTAGAAAAAATACAGTCAGCCAAGGTGAGGCAGAGAAAGAGTACCCAGAAAGAGGACACAAGAAACAGGGTAGCCAGGGTCACCTATTTCCAGGAAAGAGAGAGTTGGAAGCAGAGTGGTCTCCAGTGTCAAAGACTATAGGAAGATGAGAGAGCATGAAAATCAAGACAAATCACTGGTGCTGGTATTCAGTAGGCACTCAGAGGCTATTTTCAATCTAAAATTTCTTGAGTCTAGAAACTGTGTGAATTACCCTTTTAGTAATCATTTAACTCTTTCAAAAGAGACAAAGAACAAAGTTTACAGATACAAATCTCCATTCCAGGCCTCCACCCCTCCACCTCCTAGCAGTCAAGAACTTGCCCCATTGATTACCCAAGCACTGTGACCATCCCTTCCTCGAGATTGCACTTTACCAGCTTGTGGCCAAAATGCACTTTCACATTGGGGTGTTTCTCAACAGCTGAGGAAACAAAGAAGGGAAATTGAACAGACATTTCAATTGCTTCACTTGATCAAATTGAATTTTAATCATTTTCTGGGAAGAATATAATATATTTATTCTTAACAATGTAAAACAAATTTGTTAAAATGGTAGTTCAACAAATTTTGGCAAATTCAAAATAAAAATCAGTTATACTCACAGTTTTTAAAAATATGGAGCTCAGTGGTAGAGGGCTTGCCTAGCATGCACAAGGTCCTGGGTTATATTCCCAGCACAACACCCACACATACACATGCACACACACACAATTGCATTTCTGCAAACTCTTGCATTCCAGTAATTGTTAGTGCTCTTGTAAAGAAACAGGCATCATATTTCAAAAGTTAGCTCCAATTTAAGGTTTTATTATGATTAGAGATATTCAGCCAAACTCCTTTCCTCATATTATACATGTCTTGCTATCTCTTTTTAGCAAGTCCTCTGGACTTCTAATTCAAATTGTCACAAGTATAGACTATTGATTTGTTAAGTTTTTTTTTTGGAATCAAACACTGGCATATTGCCAGGCCTGGTGGCACATGCTTTTAATTCCAGTAACTTGGAAGGCTGAGGCAGAAGAATCCCAAGTTTGAGGCCAGCCTAAGCAACTTAGTAAGACCTTGTCTGAAAATAAAAAATAAAAAAGGTTGGAGTATAACTTAGTGATAGTGAGTTCAATCCCTAGGGCTGGGGTTTGGGGGAGGGGGAACCACTGGAATTGTTAGGAGGGAAAAAGGAGTAAGGAGTAAGAAGCTTTGAAACATATAAGGAGGGAAAAGAGCAAAAAAGTTTTGAAATACGGTTGAATAAATAGTTTTATTGCTTTTTTTTCTTTGCCTGGTAATAATCTATAAAACAGAGTGAATTTTATTTTCTGAACTAACAATCAAATTTTATTACAGTAGTCCAATAATGATTTTTGACCCTATTAATGCTCGTGAATAGAAGATCTATAAGTAGGCTATCTGTTGTTTTTAAAAGTACAAATCAGAATACAGGTATTAGAGCTGGAATAAATCTTGGAGATAACTTAGTTCAAAACCCTTCATCTTAGAGTACTCAGAATCCTGGAAGAAAAGGTAAAATCCTTGAGTTCACACATAATAAAAATTTAAGTACAAGTCCATCAAATTGTATACATTAATTATGTACTGGTTTTTGGATGTCAAAAATTAAATTAAAAATACTGAATTTGAAAAAAATTAGAGGAAATGAGATACGGGTTTCTGACTTCCAACTCAATATTCCTAATTTATCTCTCCATTTCATCTCAGTCTGTCTTCTTCCGCCCTGTTTTGTTGGATTTGTTTTAAGGTCCGAAGATTTTAGGAGTCTTGAATATCAGATTGGAAGTTTGTGAATATTTAAATATAAGAGTTGCTAAACCAAAGAAATTTATCTATGTATATAAAAAAAATCTTCTGGTAAATAACTTGACAGAAATCAGAGTTTACCTGATAGCCGAGAAGCCATTTTACAAATATAAAGAGTGTTCATAGAATAAACTTTTTTTTACTAATTTAATTTTCTACACAAATTTATAGCATTGTGCAACTCAAATTTTTCCACCAAACACTGGTTTTGGATATGATCCTTAAAAAAAAAAAAAAAACGGTTCTGCAGTCAAAGATGTAGAGAAATACTGAACACTCTGGTTCCCTTGAGCTGTCCTGTGCTGGTCCCCAGTCACATGAAATATGCTTGGAATGTGGCTAGTCCAAATTGAGATATGTTGCATGCCCTGGATTTTGACAACTTAATATATATGTACATACATATGCATACAGCAATAAAAATAGCTCATGAATAATTTATATTGATTATACATTGAAATGAAAATATTTTAAACATCTTAGGTTTATATATTTTATTAAAGGTCAGGGGATGTTGCCCAGTGGCATGCAAAACCCTGGCTTCAATTCCTAGCATTAAAATATACATATACAGTAAGTCTTATTAAATTTTATTTCACTCGTTTTTAATATTTTTTAAGTGTTATTTATGTAAAGCTGCAAATTACACCTGTGGTTGATATTTGTGGCCCCAGCTGCTTTAGAAAGTCCACAGTGCTAACTGGTATAATAAAGGCCCTGAGAAATACTGCAAGTAAAGAAAAGCCAGTTTCAACAGGCTTGATGAAGGATTTAATCCCACTTCCTGATCACACATTCTTTTTCTGTCTTGTTTTGCTTAACAATTAATAACATTCCAGAGAACAGTGAACCATGAAACAATCCTGCATGAAATGTTGATGCAGGGATACAATTTAGCTGCAATCCTTTCCAACAGGAGGTTGTTTAGTTAGAGAGAAATGAGCATGTTTAATTGGCTGAATATGTATGGTTCACACACCTTATGCCTTGCAAAGAAATGCAGAATTTTATATGCCAAGTGAAGATTGAGTTAAGAGAATCAGCATTCATTTTATTAATATATTTATTGTGTTTATAAACTATGTCCTGTGCACCACTAGATTGTACTTTCCCCATGTTTTAGCGCCTTAGTATTAGCAGGTGTTTCATTGATATTAGAGGCGGAAACTGAGTAATTAAAAGCATGGACTTTGGAATAAACAGACTCAAGTTCAAATCCAGATTCTACTACTTATTAACAGTGTAACCTAATATCTCTAAGCCTCCATTTTACCATCTATAAAATTGAGATTAAAAAATAATTCCTATCTCACATAGTTGTTGACAGAGTTATATAAATCAATGCACATAAGCCTGATGCTTCGAAGAATGTTTATTATTTTTATCTTAGTAAAGCTAGAGATTTCTGTAAAGAGGTTGTCTTAGGTCTACTATACTGCTAAAAACTGGTTTGCAGTTTATTTGCTTTCTTAGGTTCATTATGAATATATCTCACCAAGCAGTCCCACCTTACTCACCTATCTATCCAAAAGATAGTCTGCTAAATTTAATTAAAGGAATGGAATTAAGAATTCCATGCCCTGTTTCCAAAGTTCCTGATGAATTAGCTAGAATGATTCCCCCAAATCATTCAATTGAATCTCTTCAATTCTTCGATCCATTTCACTTCATTTCATTTCATTTCAATTAATTCAATTCATCCTGACAGACATGTTACAAACTCTCTGTGAGGGGACTGTGGGGAAGCAAAGACAGATCATGTTGAGCCTCTGCCACCTGAAGACGGGAGGTTGCTGGACTACATCACGAGGAATTGGTTTAAAAGAGAAGAAATTCTTAAGCGTCATGTGTTTCTGGAGATGAATCCGTTTAGTACAAATACTGAAGAGAAGAAACTATCATGATCTATGCTTAAAGTTAGTAAAGGCCAAAAGGTGCATGGGGTATGATTGGATTGGTTATCCAAACTACAAATTTAATTTATAATCCAGTGACTTTTCCATTAATGAGCAAGCCTTTTTAGTTACTCAAATTAGAAACCTCAGGGTTATATTGTACGCATTCCTCTTTCTCAGCCTCCTCTATCCCTTATCTCTTTTGGTCTCCTACAAATATCATTAATCTACACCCTCCCCTCCAACATGTTGCTTAACCAGGCCCTGTTTTTTCATTCAGGGATATGACAACGCCCTCAAGATTGCAACCCTCTCTCAGCCTCCACACTGCTTCTTGTCTTTCTGAAATGTACATCTAATCATGTCACTTTGCAAAATTGACCATTCTGTTGTCCCTTTTTTTAAAAAAAAATATTTATTTTTTAGTTGTAGTTGGACATAATACCTTTATTTATTTATTTTTATGTGGTGTTGAGGATCGAACCCAGGGCCTTGCATGTGTGAAGCAAGTGCTCTACCGCTGAGCACAACCCCAGCCCCCTGTTGTCCCTTTTGACTGTGAGTTCTTCATCAAGAGTGAGCACTCATTCATGCTAGTGCCTAAGAGACAACAGGAATTTGCACAATGAACAAACAGTTTTCTTTAAATAATTGATAAGAGCAAAAAGAGACACTGAAGGTTGCATTACTTCTACTTTTCAAGGACATTAAAATGTACATAACCTTTCTCTTTATAACCCATAAAAAGCAATAGTAAGAAAAATCCCCCAAAATCATGTGACAAGATGAGTGTGCTGTCCTCAACCTGGTAAATAAAAGCATCGGACTTACCAGTCAGTAGATCCTTGTTTAAGTTTTCTCTGCTTATGGAAAGAATATACTGCAAGAGAAACAGAGTAGAAACTGTTTCTACAGACTAGAAAATATAATTCTAAGTTACTCAGCAAAAGGAAATCTTTATCATTTAGCATAGGTTGCAAGCTTAGTTTTATAACCATTGAGTTGAGTGATCTTTTAAAAAAGCACTTTAACCAAATACATGTACTAATACATGCCCAAGTTTTAACTAGGATTTTTTTCAAAGTTTGATTAAAAACTAAATCCTTCTCTTGTAGGTACAAGAAATATTATTTCACTAAGGTAATTTCACTTTAACAATGAGTCATAAATGAAATATTTTCATCTTAGGTAACTAAATTTAGCTGTTGGGACACTTCAGTAATAATAGCATCACTAGAAGAAATGTAAAGACTACCGTAGGCTTTCATGTGAATATAAAAAGTGTGTGTGTGTATGTGTGTGTGTGTGTGTACGTATGTGTTAGATTTGGTTGTGGTGAGGCTGGAGGTTGGCAGAGACAGGATTAAACCTCACTGGAACATATGTTGGTTATTTCTGAGTTCATAGGAAAATTCAGCAGGGTTGACAGTCCCATGAGACAAGGTAGGCACAGTGCCTAGGATCCTCAACACTTTAAAGCAACTGTTAAAGTGTTTTAATTTTAGATTAGTTTAGAAACAGAAGGAAAAAATAAAGTAAGTACAATAATAAATATATAGTAACAAATTCAGCTTGGTTTATATTCATCTTTATATAATGCACTTATAAAATCTATTTTTTAATATTTATTATTTTATATAGAAGTACCTACTTAGAGCCTATGCTAACTACAATGTATCCTTGGAATTAAGGTAAATCTATTGCTTTAAATATTTAAAGCATATAATTTTTCTTGAGATGTCACAATATTTTTAACACATAAATATTAATTTATGTATCTGTAGCTTATCCCAAAGTAAAAGTTTTACATTAACAACTGAATCTAAACTTTTGTAAAATAAGTTGGTCATACCACAGTGGTAATGATGATGGAGGAGCTTCCTGTCTTTGCTGTAAATTAAAATGAACCTCTTCATTCTCTGCTGTATGGTTCTGTTTTCTGGTCTTCTAAGTCATTAATCAGTTTTTCAATGGAAACCAAATGTGTTATTCAAAGTATGTCAAGAAACAGTCAAATTTCCATGTTAGTTGTCAGGTTTGGTTGATGCTTGCATTATTTGAGAACTGACAGACACATCAGTGCTGCAGGAACACCAGTCTACCTCAGATCTTTGAATAGTATTGTGTTATAACTACCTATTCTGAAATGCTGATTTTTTGAAGAACAAATAAGAATAAATAAGTCAAGAGGTATAAGGTGGCTTTTGCAACCAAAAAGACACTACTAATAAAACATAGAAAAGTTAAAAAAAAAAAGTCTCCTTTGGGAATTCATAAGACAATAGTTGTGGTGCTATTTCAAATATGTTAGGGAAAAAAAGTGTTTGCTTTCTCCATCCCCCAGTTCCTTCAGAAAAGAACGCTTCATAATAAGGTGCAGGGTACCCTTTCTCTATTTTGAGCGTAGGGGCTTAGAAATATAAATTTGGGAGCGAGCTCAGATCTGTTCTGTATATTAGACAGTATTTTGACAGTTCCCAGGGCAATTTGGGAGGAAGGCGGCAAGATGCAGTCAGACAGGAAGAGTCTGAATGCTTCATGGGGAAAAGGACTAACGAACAAACAATAAAATACAGCTGGAAGAGGAAAGCCAGAGAAGGGGGTCAGAAAGGTTTTATAAGTCAGATTTTGCACATGGAAGATTTCTAAATTGTTTGTGTTCCTTGAACAAAGTGGTCCCTCCATGACACATAAATCAGCAGATTCACAGGCCTTTTGAGTAAGTGAAAGGGTGAATTTCAGGACTGGATTATTGTGGTACACAGCCAATATCACATGAGAGTCGGTGCCAAGTGGCAGAGGAGGCCAAGGAAAGGTAGGTTCATTCCCTGGGAAGAAATCCTGGGTTCATGGAAATGGCTCTGTACTTTCACAGGCTGTGCAACTGAGTGGTTAATACCAACTTTATGTAGTTCTTACAGGCCAAGGAGGCCCCTATGTTAGAATGAGATAGAATGATGCAAAAACTATAGGGAGAGGGGTGGCTGTAAATTTAGTATTAACTCAGTTCTTAAGAATCCAGAAGTAGCTGGAATGATGGGGGAAGGGACATTTCCTCCTTCTTAATAATACAGTGAAGGCCTCTAATACGGGGAACTTTCACCAACACTTTTACCCTCTTGTGGATTTATTGTTCTCTTTTTTCTTTTCCTCTACCGCCCCCTCCCCACCACCCAATACACACACACTTCTCTCTACTCAAAGCATGGTTTGTGGACCAGCAGCATCAACCCCAGCTGGCAGCTTCTTAGAATTGCAGAACCTCAGCCTCCACTCCATCCCTGCTGAATCACTCTGCATTTTAACAAGGTCCCAGGTGAGTCTGAGATCTACCTGCAACAGGAATTTTGCTTGGAACAATACGAACCTCACTCTGTGCTTAATAAGACAATCCTGGGTAACAATAAAGCAAGTTGGAATTTTTCTCTTGTTGATGTGTGTTTTAGTGCATTCATTCTATCTTGAGAAAACAAACTCAGAAGGCATAATTAGATGAAAATATATAGTTTCCACAGTTTTGTTTTTTGTTGTTGTTGTTGCTACTATGTGAAAAATAAGAAAAACACAAGGCAGGAAAATGAATTTTCATTCATAAACTCTTCATCACCATCTGGCGTCCGTTGTTTTAGAAATTATGGAGTACTGAAAGCATTTATGGTTCATTTTATACATTCCATTATAAGCAACTTTGGGGCAAGAAGGTTAGTTAGGGAAAGGCAACAGCATTATAAAACTCTCCAGAGTTGTTCTTGTCCATTATGACTGACAACAAATAACATACTAATTTTCTCTAATTGTAAAGGAACATGGGAGGGAAAGGGCATCCCAGGCAGCTGAACAGCAGGAGCAAAGCATAAAGACAAGAAATGGCCTAACAGTAAGAACAGTAATCATAATGAATTCTTTTTGAATGTGCATTATGGTCTGGGTCATGTTTTGAGCATCTCCTATGAATTAGCTTATTAACGAGTACATATGTTCCTGGAGTCTAGACTGAAGTGGGCAATGTCAAAGGTAGGGCTGGAGAGAAAAGGAGGAGCCAACCAGCAAAAGGCAGGTTTCATATGAGGCCTAGTTTTGATCAATGTGAAAATCATTATCTTCAGGGTAAACCCACCTGAGACTTTGTCCCATAGGGAATTGCTGATTTTCTTCCTGAAAGAAAGTGAATCATTCTTGCTCGCATGGGAACACCTTGGGATATAACCTGAAATGAGCCAGAAATAGTGATTTCAATTACTATAATATGACGTCATGCAAATAAGATAAACATTGAATTTAAAATGTAATTTTCAAATATTAATAACTACAAAGGACCCTTGAAACCCAGTATAATAACAACACATGCAGTGAAAACTGTTCCTGAAATTTTTAGTTGTTTTTTTTTCCAAGTTTAGATCTTTTAATTGATTGATCTGATCCAAACCAAACATCACAGATTAGGGAGAATGTTTTACAATTAAAGAGGTTAAGTGATTTCCTCATAATGACATAAAGGGACATCTTGAGGGGTAAAACTTGGGACTCTTGAAGTTTAGTGCAAAGGGTTTTCTTATGCAAGGCTATTGCTATTTGGATAACAACTGTAGGAATGCAAATAGCACTCATGTTTATTTATATGATCAATTCTAAGACACACTGTCTAGCTATGGGTATAGTAGAATGCTTGCCTTGCACCTGTGAAGGACTGAGTTTGATTCCTAGCACCACAGGTGAAAAAAGAAAGACATATTGTCAGTGGAAGTAATAGTATTATCAAGAAAAAAAATATGCCACTTCTCTTTACATTTCCAAATTTCATGATAATTGGAGGTTACATAATAATAAGTCCATGTCGGGGAATTTTACTGTAGGTTCACAATCCCTTATTCAAACCATGGGGCTTGTTGGTTTCAGAGTTCAGGAGTTTTCAAATTTTAATCAGGTAGTATAAGGCACAAATGCTACATATCATTTAACACTTCGTGGGTCTGGTGCATCATCTCAAAATCAAACACTATTTTTGTAGCAAAACATGTTATGATTTAGATATGAGATGTCCCCCAAAAGCTCATGTGTAAGACAGTGCAAGAATGTCCAGGGGTGAAATGATTAGTTTATGAGAGCTGTAACTTAATAGTGGATTAATCCACTGATACAGATTTTTGTTTTGTTTTAGCCCATGGGCATTTTAACACTCATAAATAACTGTGGTTAAATATTCAATTTCGTAGGATGCAAGTCCCTTAGAAAGACTTCTGTTGAAGAAAAAACAATTCCTCCTTGCAGAAGTTGTTTACTTGACACTTATTATCCAAAACCTTTTACATTCAGTGACCAGACTTGTGCAAGAAGAGAGACTTCTTGAAAATTTATTAAATGAAAGCATAAGAAATTGAATGGTTTATATCCAGCTTGACATAAAACAGTCTTATCTGTACCAAAGACCTTCTTGACAGAAGAAAATAACAAGAATGCAGAAACCCATAAACTTTATATCATCTCTTACATGGTATTTAGTCTTTTTAAATTTTAATTTGAACCAGCAGGTACACTAAAATTCTCTGGCAGCATATGCAACACAGAATGATGGTTAGCATTAGTCATCAAGTAAACATGAGGCTTTCCTGGCAAAGCATTACACAAACCTCCAGATTTAATGGTTGTACTGAGCAATAACCAATGTGGCTCCATGTGTGTCTAGAAGTCTTATTAGCAATAGCTGGGAGATTAACTCTATTACTAGTCAAGGACCAAAGCCTTTAGTGTTTTAAACTGAGCAATTTTACCAAGTGAAAGAAATTGGCTAATATTTTTTTACTGGAATTTTTTAGTAATTTTTGCAAGGATATAATTTTTTTTAAAAAAATTGTTCAATGCATGAGGTAGGGATGTTAAAAACATTTTCAATAAGTTAAAAAAATGTAATAAAGACAATATATAGCCCAGTTACCATAAAATGTTTTTATTTGGCCCTTTACAGAAAGTTTGTAACCCCTGGCTAAAACGACAGAAAATAGTATGTCCAGTATATTACACCTTTCTTTTTTTTTAATTTTTTTATTGTTGGTTGTTCAAAACATTACATAGTTCTTGACATATAATATTTCACACTTTGATTCAAGTGGGTTATGAACTCCCATTTTTACCCCATATACAGATTGCAGAATCACATCAGTTACACATCCATTGATTTACATATTGCCATACTAGTGTCTGTTGTGTTCTGCTGCCTTTCCTATCCTCTACTATCCCCCCAACCCTCCCCTCCCCTCCCCTCTTCTCTCTCTACCCCCTCTACTGTCATTCATTTCTCCCCCTTGTACTATTTTCCCCTTTCCCCTCATTTCCTCTTGTATGTACTTTTGTATAACCCTGAGGGTCTCCTTCCATTTCCATGCAATTTCCCTTCTCTCTCCCTTTCCCTCCCACCTCTCATCCCTGTTTAATGTTAATCTTCTTCTCCTGCTCTTCATCCCTACTCTGTTCTTAGTTACTCTCCTTATATCAAAGAAGACATTTGGCATTTGTTTTTTAGGGATTGGCTAGCTTCACTTAGCATAATCTGCTCTAATGCCATCCATTTTCCGGCAAATTCTATGATTTTGTCATTTTTTAATGCAGAGTAATACTCCATTGTGTATAAATGCCACATTTTTTTTTATCCATTCGTCTATTGAAGGGCATCTAGGTTGGTTCCACAGTCTTGCTATTGTGAATTGAGCTGCTATGAACATCGATGTTTTCATTATATAAGTCTTTCACCTCTTTTGTTAGGTTGATTCCCAAGTATTTTATTTTTTTTGAAGATATTGTGAATGGAGTGGTTGTCCTCATTTCCATTTCAGAGGATTTGTCGCTGATATACAGGAATGCCTTTGATTTATGCGTGTTGATTTTATATCCTGCCACTTTGCTAAATTCATTCATTAGCTTTAATAGTTTCTTTGTAGACCCTTTTGGGTCTGCTAGGTATAGAATCATGTCTTCTGAAAATAGTGATAATTTAAGTTCTTCTTTTCCTATTTTTATGCCTTTAATTTCTTTCGTCTGTCTAATTGCTCTGGCCAGTGTTTCAAGAATTATGTTGAACAGAAGTGGAGAGAGAGGGCATCCCTGTCTTGTTCCAGATTTTAGAGAGAATGCCTTCAATTTTTCTCCATTCAGAATGATGCTAGCCTGAGGCTTAGCATAGATTGCTTTTACAATATTGAGGTATGTTCCTGTTATCCCTAGTTTTTCTAGAGTTTTGAACATAAAGGGATGCTGTACTTTGTCGAATGCTTTTTCCACATCTATCGAGATGATCATATGGTTCTTATTTTTAAGTCTATTGATGTGGTGAATAACATTTATTGATTTCCGTATATTGAACCAGCCTTGCATCCCAGGGATGAATCCTACTTGATCATGGTGAACAATTTTTTTGATATGTTTTTGTATCTGATTCGCCAGAATTTTATTGAGGATTTTTGCATCTAGGTTCATTAGAGATATTGGTCTGTAGTTTTCTTTCTTTGAAGTGTCTTTATCTGGTTTAGGTATCAGGGTGATGTTGGCCTCGTAGAATGAATTTGGAAGTTCTCCCTCTTTTTCTATTTCCTGAAATAGCTTGAAAAGTATTGGTATTAGTTCCTCTTTAAAGGTTTTGTAAAACTCTGCTGTATACCCATCCGGTCCTGGGCTTTTCTTAGTTGGTAGTCTTTTGATGGTTTCTTCTATTTCCTCAATTGATATTGGTCTGTTTAGGTTGTCTATATCCTCCTGACTCAATCTGGGCAGATCATATGACTTAAGAAATTTATCTATGCCTTCACTATCTTCTAATTTATTGGAGTATAAGGATTCAAAATAATTTTTGATTATCTTCTGTATTTCTGAAGTGTCTGTTGTGATATTGCCTTTTTCATCCTGTATGCTAGTAATTTGAGTTCTCTCTCTTCTTCTCTTCACTAGCATGGCTAAGGGTCTGTCGATTTTGTTTATTTTTTCAAAGAACCAACTTTTAGTTTTGTCAATTTTTTCAATTGTTTCTTTTGTTTCGATTTCATTAATTTCAGCTCTGATTTTAATTATTTCTTGCCTTCTACTTCTTTTGCTGTTGTTTTGCTCTTCTTTTTCTAGGATTTTGAGATGAAGTATGAGATCATTTATTTGTTGGTTTTTTCTTTTTTTAAGGAATGAACTCCAAGCAATGAATTTTCCTCTTAGAACTGCTTTCAATGTGTCCCATAGATTCCAATATGTTGTGTCTGTGTTTTCATTTATCTCTAAGAATTTTTTAATTTCCTCCTTGATGTCTTCTATAACCCATTGATCATTCAGTAACCTATTGTTCATTCTCCAAGTGATGTATGCTTTTTCCTTCCTTCTTTTATCGTTGATTTTCAGTTTCATTCCATTGTGATCAGATAAGATGCATGGTATTATCTCTACTCCTTTATATTGTCTAAGAGTTGCCCTGTAACATAATATATGATCTATTTTTGAGAAGGATCCATGTGCTGCTGAGAAAAAAGTGTAACTGCTTGATGTTGGGTGGTATATTCTATATATGTCAATTAAGTCTAGGTTATTAATTGTGTTATTGAGTTCTATAGTTTCCTTATTCAACTTTTGTTTGGAAGATCTGTCCAGTGGCGAGAGAGGTGTGTTGAAGTCTCCCATGATTATTGTATGGTGGTCTATTAGACTCTTGAACTTGAGAAGAGTTTGTTTGATGAACATAGCTGCACCATTGTTTGGGGCATATATATTTATGATTGTTATGTCTTGTTGGTGTATGGTTCCCTTAAGCAGTATGTAGTGTCCCTCTTTATCCCTTTTGATTAACTTTGGCTTGAAATCTATTTTATTTGATATGAGTATGGACACTCCTGCTTGTTTCTGAAGTCCATATGAGTGATATGATTTTTCCCAACCTTTCACCTTCAGCCTATGTATGTCTTTTCCTATCAAATGCATCTCCTGTAGGCAGCATATTGTTGGGTCTTGTTTTGTGATCCATTCTACTAGCCTGTGTCTCTTAATTGGTGAGTTTAAGCCATTAACATTTAGGGTTGTTATTGAGATATGGGTTGTTCTTCCAGCCATATTTGTTTATTTCTGTTACTAAACATGGTTTGTTTTCCTATTTGATTATTTCCCCCCGCTTTACTGTCCTACCTCCCACTGTTGGTTTTCATTGTTATTTTCCATTTCCTCTTCCTGTAATGTTTTGCCAAGGAT